CACACACACACACACACACACACACACACACACACACACACACACACACACACACACACACACACACCTTCGTGTCTTAAGTTTGAGTCACAGCAGGAATCCATTTTTTTTACAAACACTCATGCACACTCTAGCAGCTGCACCAATTTCAAAACCTTTAACTTCATTTAAGGGCTGCATATTCAGGTCCTCCATTGTGTGCTTAAAGCTCCACCATAGAAGTATTTCTGTATTGCTGCATTTCTGAATTATTCAGAACCAGGAGCTGTGCAGCCCTGCACTCCCAGACAAATGCTACATAAAACGGAAACTTCAGGTAAAAGCAACTACAGATAGAGGCCAACCCTGGTGATCAAGCTGGGATGAATTAAACCTCAGCGGATGCTGAAGGGCTACATCTTTTTTTTTTTACATTTTGAGAACTATATTTTGTTTTGTAGCTAATCATGGGTGGTGCTGTTGTTTTTTTTTTTTAAGTAACATGAACCTTTTCTTGTTACCTGTTAAATACACAAAACAAAAGGCGGAATACAATCGGCCTCGGCTTAGCATCAAAAATTGTAAGGCCTGTAAAAGATTCAGCGCACTCCTATGAAGATGGCATCACCCACCCGGCTCGTACATCGTCCAGGACAAAATGAAGCATTCAAGGTGTGTTTTAGATGACAACGGGCTACAGGACGGACTGACATTCTGACAGACGGACGGACGTTAGTGAGCAGGAGAGCAGGAGGTGTGTATTGGGCCGAAGCATCCTTACCTCTCTCATTCCAACAGTAGGAGGTGGTGGTGTGGTGCTCGTCGTGGGAGTACATAGTGACTCCATGTAACTGCTGAAGCATTGCCCTCCTGGATGCATGCCCTACTTACCCCCCCACAACATGAACCCCGTCGAACAAACCACACCCAGTGCACACATACAAATGCAGCCATTCGGAGCAAACAAAACATACAAAATGGACAGATAAACAGAAGTCCCAGAGAATGACATAAAGAGAAAAAAGAGAAAAAAAAACAATCTGAGCTTGGAAAAACTCCCTTAAATGTTTATAAAGACAAAGAAAGTGCCACCGTAGTAAGAGGTTACAGTGTTTGAATTCCTCCTAGTGGCCACACAGCCTTTTCTTGCACATCCATCTATGAATTCCTGTGAATCAGCATGTGGCGAACTAAACGCTGCCAGCAAAGATAGTCTATGCCTGCACTTCAGTTGTCATGATCAACTCTGACACAGCATTTCTACATGCAGTGCGACGTGCTGAAGAGATTCCGAACAGCGCAAAAGTTCGACGCTGCTTTCTTCTAACCTTCCATGAAAAATAAGTAAGTGTGTTTTGCAAACAGGGTAAAAAACAGCCACATGGAGGCAAAGATAAAATGTGAGTCAATGAAAACAAAATGTTGATGGGTGATTGTTCACTTTGTTTACTGCCCTTCCCCCGCACAATCTTTGCAGTCTTTTGACAACAGCGCGACATAATGCTGCCGGCATCCACGAGCCTTCCGCTGTGAATCTGGGCGGCGGCAGCTCAGTTTTGTCGCGTGTCGCCGGGGTGTGTTTACGCTGCGTGGCGGAGCCTGTGGGGTGCTGGCTAATGAAAGTCAGGCGCAGTGGTGTTCTGACAGGACACAGGGACCCCTTGGGGCCCCTTACAGGGAGGCAGAGGCAGGTATCAGGGAGTGATAAGGGAAGGCAGACAACCTTAAGCGGTGAGACAGACGAAGTGCCAGAGCGAAACGATGGCATGCACATGGACACACACACACATTTTAGAGACGAGGACCAACAGCAGTTGAGAATTCCTTATAATATATA